CTGCTGAATGTTGGCAATTATGTAGTAGAAGGACAGCCAGAAAACGAAAAGATATGTGTTCAAATACGCAACCCAGCGAACAGTCTCTTTACAGCAGGTGCCCTATGTCGTGAAATATCAATAGAAATTGTTAGGTGTGTCGTCGATTCGAAGAAATTACATAAGTGAGGTTGTTATAACGGTTAGCATAGTGCCTAATCTGCAGAAAGTTCAGTCACTTCAGGATGCCCGCTGCTTTCCGCCTGTAAAAATTATTATTTTCTGTAAAAAAATGATATGCACAACAATATTTCCGGCTGGAAATATCTACCAGAAAATTTTATTATTGGGAAAAATGATATTCTCCGGTTTTAAAAACGTTTCATAATACATCGTGCCCGTAAATTTATTGATGGCGTCTATAAAGTATACAACGTGATCTATATTAATTGCAAAAATTTGTGAGGCCTATATGACCCTTGCCTCATGTCGTACGGATATATTTAGTTTTCCCAAGGCAATATGTTTTTTGGAAACATGGAAGGCGTAAACTGCTGCCTCACGACTCTACGAAAGAAAATTTTCTGTATGCTTTCTATAACATGTTTGAATTTATAAGAACATTGAAAATCAGCGAGGAAATGCGTGCTACTTAAGTAGGCATGTTGGATAATATAATTTTTTAAAGCAGTCAGAAAGAGGTTCAGTCAAAAGCCGGTATCTTGACATGACTGAATTATATTGAGATAAGTCTATACGATAAACAGTATTGCAACTCTTAATAATTGATTTGTTCCAAGGGAAACCACGGTTCAAAATTTTGCTTGACATTCTATGAGATCAATTTTAGATTAAAAACTGCAGGTTTTGAAAATCAACATAGCAATTGTGGAACGCTTTTTGGGGAGTGAGGGAGGCAAAGAGGGCGTACCTGTGATATAGGTGTAACAATGAGCTGATCCATTCCAGATTTGCTACTGTAGACCTTCTGTTTCACAAAGCCAGGATCAATGACATAGAAAATGCCGTCAATTGTGAGGGAGGTTTCGGCAATATTTGTAGCGATGACGACCTTACGACTGCCCGGCGGGGCCGGATCAAAGATGCGTGACTGCATCTCCGAGGGTAGGGCAGCATACACGGGCAGGATGATCAACTCAGGCACGTCCGGACCCAGAGCCTTCATTCGCTCATAGAGAATCTCACAGGCCGAATCGATCTCCTCTTGACCAGTCAGGAACACCAAAATATCACCTACAACCAAGGTCGATAAAATAAAAGTTAATAATAGCGAAAAAATGCTGTAGATTTGCTAGTTCGTGAAATGTTAACAGAAAGTCTGGCATTGGATAAGGAAGGGGACGAGTCGAGCACCGGATCAAATAATTTATTGTCCAGAGCTTTTGGCTCCGCACGAGAAGCCATTGTCATTCGTTTTCAATTGAAAGGGAATCCTTAAGTAGGGTTGTAATTATAATTATTTTGCAGCATAATCCCAAGGATATTGTAGTCGCGTCAGGACACGGGTTTTTCAACGAACTTCTTTCCGGCTGCCGGTAAAATCTACAGTTTGCAAAAATAAAACGACTATTTGAGTAGTATTCATTTTTCTTACTGCTTTTTGATGTCTTCATAAATTTAAGTAGATTTTATAGAAAAATATATCCAAATAATCGTCGTAAATTACGTCTTTTTCAAAAGTTATACTCGAAGAAAGGGTATTTTGGGGGTCGAAAATTAGGAAAACAATTGAACAGTGAAGGGTTAATTCATAAAGCACCAAATCTGCTCATTTATTAATGCTATTGGTAAAGTATGCAACATGAACCACATTCAGTATGACTTTCCTTTATGAGCCCTCCATGAAATCTAGGTAATAGCGAATGGAAATGTATGATACTCCTTTCAGGGAAGTATATGCCACGCAGTTTGAAAACCCTCAATGCAAGTGTAAAGGCAGGTCAGATTCACAACTATGCCGCAAGTGAATAGTTTTTAAAAACCGCAAACTACCCCATCTTCAGGCAGAGCATCTGAATAAAACTCAGTCTTCTAACAAATTAGAACGATAAATAATACTCTGTGTATCTTGACTATAAACTATATTTGAGCTTATCAGGGGGATCAAAATCAATGGGGAACTGCATGCGACTTTAGTAGTCATAGCCTACAAAATTTTCCTCTTCGGCTGAACGATATTTTGAATTCTGCGCGTCCAACTCCTGTGAAACTGTCTGGCCTACGTGCGACTGTTCAACGCCCGCGGCTGTTTGCAGCTGTTTGCGAATAGTTGGTCTGAAAGCCCCTGACCGACTTCCACTAGAGCACACAGACGTGTCCAAAACAGTCGCGGCTGCTTAAGGGCCACTTGAACACACCGGCCCCTCGCCCGACGCAGCATGGGCTACTCCCTCGGGCAGTGTAACACGCTATTTGCACACCACTTGAACTTGCTCTCACGGTCACATAAAAGCAGCTGCCACTTTCTCCGTCCGTCAAACTTGCTCTCACAGGCTCGATTGGACACAATGAGCACGATCCCTACCTTTGCCCTCAGTACGTATAACGTTACCTCATCCGCATTGTTCCTTTGTCTAGGGTCAGGCAATATACTTGACTGACTCCTTTGTTATTGACTACGCGTATCCACTGTTGAGGTAGGTACATTGTTCATTCTCCACTATTTATTTAATAATACTGTACTATAGCAATTGTTGTTATCATTAGGAATTGACGTAAGCATTAGGACCGGATACTGAGCCAGAGGATACTCGAACAATAGTATTTACGGACAGGCAGAAACAAACTCTTCAAAAGCCGGTATTCGGACGCGACTGGTATATCCTTGGATTATGCCGCATGATAACTAAGATTACAACTCTACCGAAGTGACTTTTTAAAAAATAAAACACAAATGAGAATTTTTGTTAACATTTCCTGAGATAGCAACTCTAATTA